GGTCTGGCGCCCTTTGGAACATTGAACCCTCAAAGAACCCGTGAAGCACCTGAACCTTGTGGGAACCCTTTGGTGGCATATTGCAAGCGTATGGAGCCGATGATTGGCCCGATCGATGCACTAATTCCTCCAACCTCTTGTAACAGATTCGACCTCAGGGAAGGCATGCCCGGGCATGCCTAGGAGATGCTTCCAAGATTGCCCTTCATTGACGTTCGGAGTTCGGAGCCCACCCTTTGCACATTTGGAGTTTTTTGCGTGACGTGTTTGCCGCAAACAAGCGCTATTGTCACACGGTGGCTGCTGCCCGTTCAACAAACACTTCAGGGAGTGCCAATAAAGTGAAGTGAAGGCCCCTGCCTGGAATCACCCTAGGGGTTAAGTGCAACGAAAAAAACTCGGGACAATGATGCTGCTGAGGAGGCTGCTGGGGCTGGCGGTGTTCCACTGGGGTGGGATGCTGTTCTCCAACATCTCCGTAGCGGAGGTGCACATCTCCTTCACCCACACTGTGAAGGCTTCGGTGCTCGGGTGGCGCCTGGTTGCGCCTGTTGCTTTCTGCTTAGCAAATCGTTCTTGGCTGCGAAATGTCCAGGCAGCGTCAACCGACATTTGATGCAGAATAAAAACGCACAGCGTTTCTCCCCCTGGCAAGGCTGCGGAGCCGTTCTTCACCGCCTTGTTCACCGTAGCTCTCCTTGGCAAGAAGCCGACCATCCGCCACTACCCAAGTAATTAGCACATTTGGATGCTCAAAGTTGACTCCTCTCGCCTGAGGCGCTTGGCTCAGCTTGTTGCTGGTTATTGCTGGCATTGTTGTCGCCTCTACGGCTGAAACTTCGTTGGAGCCTAAGATGGTCTAAGTGTGTCTGAGTTGCTTTCAGAGTTTGGGGCATTTCCGGGGCTGGAGTTACGCAGTTAAGGTTCACTTGGGTCGGCTTTTGGGCCGCCATGGCCTCCAACGTCATGGTGTCGTTGAGGCCCGGCTTGCGGTTTTCGCCGTTTGCCACCGCCAGCCGGGCACCAAAGGGTTGTAACATTTACTTCCAGGACGGTGCTGTCCAAGAGATTGATTGAAAGCCACATCCTGGACCCGCTGAATTTCCAAGCATTGCTGCAGTGCGGAGCAGCTCTGGCAGCTTGGCAAGGCGAATGCTGATTCCATGGATTGCGGATGCGGCTCATGGCTGAGGTTTCGGTGCCAGTGGCTTTGTGCTTCAACCTGCAGCTTGGACCTTGTGGAACCTTGTGGAACCCGGCTTGTTAAAGAAAGTGAACAAGGTTGGACGGCAACCCCCAGAGCCAACCGAGTGACGTTTGTGCAACCGACGCAAGCTGGCCGTCCTCACCCTTAGGCATGCAGTGAAGGAGATTGCTTTGGACCCTTCGGCAGTTTCATCGGCGATTATGATTGGGCCACTTGCACCTCGGCATGGGCCGTGCGTTGACCTTTATTTCGTCACTTTGGGCTGGTGATTGCCATTGTCTTCGGCACAGGCAGTTGGCTAAGCACGACTTGAAGAGTGCCACTCGGAAATCATTGCTTCCAAGGTGTGGATCTTCAACGTTGCCTCGATCGTGGTGCTTGTTCACAGCTCCCCGGTGGTGCATGCCATGATCCGGTCCATGCGGAGGCCCCTCCTGGTGCTGGCGTCCATCATCACGCTGCTGGGCCGTGGCTGCGACGGGTTTTTTGTTGCTGAAGGTTCAAGAAGGGCCTTGGGTTGGATTCAGCCACCAGCTCGGGATATGATCTCTCAAGCCCCAGAAATCTCACACCTTGCGCAAACTGAGCCCTTCATTTGGGTTTGCCGGCGCGGCAATGGGCCGCTTCGATTTCGGCTCGTGTCTCAATGGCCCCCACTGTCCCAAGCCAAGGTTTGGCACATGCCTCACCTGGCTGAATGCGATGGGCATTGCCGTGACCATCCTGGGGGCCTTGTGGTTCCGCTACGAGAATGAGGTGAAGCTGGAGAGAAAGCCATCGACTGGAAACCTCAAGCGGCTGCATGCCAACGCCAGGCATCGAGCGATACCGTAGTCGATCCTTTTGTAGGAGCCAGTTGGGCTCGTTAATTCACTCGCGTGATTTTGCAATGCACACCACCCCTGGGTGAGACGTAGCCGGATGCTTCGCATTGACTAGTTTCACTCGAGGCTTCGGAACCGAAAGGAGTTGGCAGTTTGCCATGGACCTGCCCCTTCGCGGCAAAGGGTGTTCGAAAGGGCGCGTATATTTGCTCTCTCCTCGGCAGAACCGCCATGAGCCGAGAGAATAGTTCTGGGGTCATGCAGAAGGAACAGCACTGCGCCCTTCCATCTTGAAGGCACGTGGAAGAAAAACGGTTTTGCGCTGCCGTTCGGAATCTAAAGTGGGCTCCATCAACTCTTTTATTGCACTTCTGGCATTGGCAGGTTCAGGTGTGCTCAAGTCTGACCGGCTAGAGGGGGCAGTTTTGTCCATGGCAAACGCGGTCCACTGCAACTCCTTGCAAAGCTGCCAAGTTCCATCTATTTCCATTGCAACTAACTAACTTCCAGTACCCACATGGAAGCTTGACTGGAGCATGCTATGGTGGCCTTTGCACGTTACTTGGCTCTCACGAGCCCTGGCCCTGACTCCGGGCATCAGCCCGGCTGAAGAGACGCGCTACAAGGGCACCCACTTTGTATGCGTGGAAGGGCCGCTCGGCAATAAGCCGAGTTTGCCACGCTGCGCGGAACGCTTCTCGAGTTGGTCACGTGAGGTCGGCCACGCTGCCAGCCTCCGCGGTCAACGATGACTTCTGCGACTGCGAAGATGGCAGCGACGAGCCTGGCACGGCGGCATGCGCTGGAGCCACCGACCGGTGCAGCGGCTTAGTGTGAGGCAACTGGCATTTCACATTGGCCAACACATAGGCCACTTCTTGCGGCATGAGCAGAAGCTGTGAGGTGGTTTTACTGCCCCAATAGCGGGGGCACTGCGCGGTACATCTATATCTCGCGATGCTCGGCGGCACGTTGGAATGCAAGGGGGGTGCGGCCCATGTCATTTTGTGTTATTCCTTTGTCACTTTGACATGCTTACTTTAGGCTGTAAGTTGGGCTGTACGGTTCAAGAGAAGGAAGCACCGTACTTGAGCCTGTTTTTGGATTTGGTCTTCTTTCGGATGCTCCCAAGGCGTGGGGGATGGCATTTGTGACTGTTGCGATGGTTCGGATGAGTGGCTGCGGCCGGACAGCGGCTGCCGGGATGTGTGCAAAGAGCAGGGCCGCGCTCGGAAGGCGCGGAGGGGAAGGTTGGAAGTGGCGAACGGGCCAGTGCCAGGCAAGCAAAATGGATGGAGGCAAACTAATTGTGGCAGTTTGCGACTTTGAGTTGATCCGTTCATGAATGCTGTTTCTGTGTGAGGTGCGTTTGGAACAAAGACGCGCTGAAATGCAAAAAGGCATTTTGATGAGGGAAGCGGCGCTGGAATCGATGAGGGCCGAGGCCGGGGCTCACGGGCCCGCTGGGCGTTGCTTGCGGGCTGAGAATGAGGTTGAGGAGTGGCGGAAGACGGTGGCAGAACTGGACGCGAATGCAGCGCCGCTGTCTAAAGAGATGCTGGAATTGGAGGAGGTTCAGCGCCAGAAGCGGGCTGCGGTGATCAAGGAGGCCATCACGACCATGTTGTGCCGTCCTGCCTGCGGTGTTTCGTGTGGTGCGCACAGTGGGGCACAGCATGGCAAAGCATTCCAGGTCAGGATGCCAGGAGGGTGACTCTTGTGACTCTTGTGGCCATGGCCTCACAAGGCCGAGCAGCTGGGCAGGGAAGCCGACTTGGTCGGTCAGGCGCGAGGCTCATTTCGTTGCGCTTCAGGTGAAGTTGATAAGTAGGAGCTTGCATGCCATCAAGTCACCAAGCTCTGGAGGGCGCGGAGAAGAAAGTCTCCGAGTATGCCAAGTGGATGGAAGGCTGCGGCATGCCAGTTTGCCCCAGTGGAGGTCATTCGACTCTTCCATGCTTGAGCCAGAGCCAGTGCAGGGGGAGGAAGCGGGAACACAGCGGAGCAGGCAGAGCAGGTGCGGCACGGGGCGTATGCAAGCCTCCAAGATCGTGGGTTTGTGGCTGACTGCCAGGTGTGCAGTGGTTCCGTGTGCATCCAGCGCACTGCTGTGTCACGGAAAGAGTTGAGGCAGATCAAGGTGACTAGCACCTCAGCTGCTCTGACATGCCGCGGGCAATATGGGCAGTATGCACAATGAAGCGCAGCATGAACTCAGGTGGCGCACTGGTTGACTTCATGGAATTTGTGTATGCCACAGGGAGCCTCGTAGTGGGCGAGGGCAAGGGCGACCAGCAGGAGCCCTTTAATTTGGAACCTGGAGAGGCTGGCATTGCAAGCGTCGTTTTGTGACATGGCGCGGGTATGGTTGGAATTCGGGAATTCGGCGGCAATTTGAGGTGCTGCTGGAGCTTCGCGGCGGCCAAGGGGGCCTCCTGGACCGCGTGCAGTTCGTGACGAGCCGCGGCCGTGAGTCCAAAGCCTACGGCGGAGCTGGCGGCCAGAACTTTTCCTTCAAGGCCTCGTGGGAATTTTCCGTTGGACGGCGAATGTCAGAGAATTGGCTTGAGCTTGGCAGGCGAGCGAGGGCAAGATGATTGTGGGCGTGACCAGAGCGGCAACATGACCAATTTAGACTTGGGCCTTTCAGCCGGCCGATGATGTAAGGGGATGATCTGAGGTGGGCTTGGCTGGGAAGCTCACCGGCATCCAGGAGTGTCTCTTCCGACCTCTCACTGATGCAGAGAAGGCGTTTGACGAGGCTTCCTCGATTCTGGAGGAGGGTTGTCGCGTTTGTTTCTTGTGGCTGGCAGTAGCTTGGCCCATGGCGGCCCACCCGCTACGCGAATTTGATAAGAATTTCCCAGGATGCTCGGCGGCAGCTTGCCGCGAAGCACAAGGAGACGGCGGAACTGAGAGAGAAGATCGAGGCGGCAGCAGGCGCCCACGCGGCATATCGGGCACTCAACAAATGCGGCGAGACGCAAATCGGTGAGTACAGCTACAAGATTTGCCCCTTTGGCGAAGCCACGCAAGGACATGCGCCAAGGCTCAAATTGTTCAGACTCTTTCTGGTGTGCTAGAAAGTGCCGGACCTTGTTGGTTTTGCGGAGATTCCAACATCGAGCAAGCGTATCGCATTTGTTGCCTCAGGTGCGGCTGGGGAAATGGAAAGGATGGGCAAGCGATGCTTCGCATACCGCTTTGTTTGAGGGTGGCGAGCGGTGCTTCTCTGGCATCGTCCGCACGCTTCGCGTTCAGTTTGAATGTGGGGAGGGCTACGTCATTGAATCGGTGGCTTGGCGCATGTTGCATAGCAGGCACGGCAGAGCTTGAGTTGCCGGCTTGCTTCGTCAACTTCAAAGTGCCGTACACTGCGAAGGTGAGAGAGCCCAGCCAATGCGTCTACGAAGCGACCATGACCCACCCTGCTGCGTGCGATGCCCAAGTTCTGACGCAGGGTGACAGGGTCCTGACACCGCACGAAGCTCACCTGGAGTTGTAGCAGTTGGAAACGTTGTAGCAGGTTGCGGCTAGCCAACGCAGCCAGGAAAGCTGGTTGGGCCACGGCCCAGGCAACGCCATGCCCCAAAGTTGGGTTGAGTTTCACCGACTCTAGAGGCAAAGGGCGGCCAAGTGTCACGCATCACAGTCAGGTGTTGGCTTTGCTCGGGAAGTGCGTGCTTTTTCGGCTTCAGACTGCCGTTATGACAACACCACGTAGCTTCCGACGTCACATGGCGCGAGGGCGCATGCAACCACGCGACGCAAGAGCTTAGAACTCTCCAGCGGCCTTGCCATGGCCTCGCTGAGAGGCAGGGCGCCGGTCTGATGGTCTCCGAATGGCAGGATGGCACAAAGATTCTGTGAGAATCGTCCGAAGCCCATCAGCGCCGCCAGCGTCCAGATTCCAGTGGCCGCAATGCAGCAACATGGCCGCCGGGGTGTTCCCAGCGCCCACGGTCACCTGGGCCCCGGGCCCAGTCGGCCCAGTCGGCCCAGTCGTCCCGATACTTCCCCTGCAGCTGGCCCAAAGCAATGGCCACGACGTGTCAGAGCTCTCCAGCAGCCTGGCAAGCTTACCTCGGCCAAGCAGGAGGGCAAGTTGGCCAAAGCCCTGCAAATCTGACCGACTTTTCAGCGTAACGCCCAAACATGTATGCTTTCAGGCAATGGGGATTTGGATGAAGGAGTCAGATTGTCATGTCATCATTCAACTCCGTTTGGCAGGCTTGATGTTGCGCCGGAAACGCGGCCTGCACGCAGCCTGCTGCCTCCACCAAGCCGGGCAGCTTGGCCGCAAGGAGCTTCGTGGAAATCGGAACAGCAGAGTGAGGCAAATGCCGGGGTAACAACCATCCTGCAAGCCTGACATACCCAACAAAGGGTCAGGCTACCAATGTGTCCAGCTGGCTACACTGGACAATTAAACCTTGAACAGACACCGGGGCCTGAACCAAAGCCGCGCGCAATGATATGCTAGTTTCGACTTGAGCTCATTTCAAAGACGACGCTTCTACCATCGCACCGAGTCAAAGCTGTCGAGAGAGCAAGCTTGCATATCAATGACATATTTGCCGGCAGAGCATACTTGGTGGGCGATTGTTCTTTTCCGAATTAGAACACCATGAGGCTTTGGTGCATCGCAGCTTTGAGTTGCTAAGCTTTGCAGTTAGTCAGCCATTTGCTTAGTTCAGCTAGTCTTGTTAGTCATTCTAGTTGCCTATTCTGTCGAGTTAGCAAGTTGGGTGTGGTGCTGGGTTGCTGCTCATTAGCTGATGTGTGGACAAATGTGGGCAGACAGTTTGGGCTCAGTTGCTACCTAGCTAGTTAGTTACCTGAGAAGCTGGCGCTCTAGCCGGCTAGCTTCGCTTGACAGTTGTTTACTCCGTTAGCCAAGGAATGCCGCATGAGCAGAAAATTTCTGAATGAATTGTCTAGTTGGAAGTCCGCGGCAGGTTGTGTGAACCCTCTAAAGTATGTGGAGCCCTCTCAAAGTGCTTTCCGCTACGATGGTCGTGCAAGTCACGTTGCAGAGCTTGAAGGGAAAGCAGCCTCGGGCCGAGTCCGTGTCGCGACGTTTCGTGTAGCTCTGACCCAAGGGCTGCGGCGCAGTTGGCGCAGCATGGCCGCTGCAGGCGAATGGCCAAAGATTGGAGTCCTTCAAACCGGCAAGATCGGAGGCTTCTTCTGCCACGCTAGCCCAGTCCCAGGGAGATCCTGAGCGATACTTGAGACAGATTCAAGCAGTGGGCAAGGTGCATCAGCAGCAGCTGGAGATTCTGCAGAGGCACCTGGCCTTAATGCAGAAAGTTTGCGCGGGGCAAGCACAGCCCTCCTTCACAAGAGAGTTCGAGCTTTTGAAACAGCGGCAGCTGCAGCTGCTCAAAGATGTCGAAGGCCAGCTGCGAGAGATCTCTGAGGCGACCTTTGCCGCAGAAGTGCCATCTCCAGCGCCATCCCCCGTGCCACGAGTGCGTCCAATACATCCGGCACCAGTGCCATCGCCAGTGCGGTCAGCGCGGCATCCGAAGCCGGGTCCATCGGCGCCCCCGTTGCCATCAGACTTCCGGGTGCTCGTTGGCAATGCTACCGGGCTGTTGGGCCGGGAGGTGATGCGCGTACTGGGAGGACTGGGGCAGGTGAGTCCGTGGCAGGGGGGCCTGCAGCAGCTCCAGGACTTCCGGCCCCAAGCTGTGCTGCTGCTGGAGGCAGAGGCGGCTCTGGAGGCGTGTGAGGCTTTGGAGGCGAACGATGGCCATGGGCCTAACGAGCCTAACGGGCCCAATGGGCCTGGGCCTGGGCCCAACGGGCCTGGTGGGCCTGGGCCCAACAGGCCTGGTGGGCCTGGACCCAACGGGTCTGGGCCCTGGGTGGTGGCGGTGAGCTCTGCGACGGTCTTCGATGGGCTGCAGGCGCCATATGGGGTGGACGCGGAGCCGAGGCCGGTGACGCAGCTAGGACTGCAGTGCCTCGACCTGGAGCAGCGCGTGCTGAACCTCCGCCGCTCCGCAGTCCTGCGGGTACCCTCCCTCTACGGCCCGGTGCATGCGCTCGGCGAGTCACCAATCACTCGCAGCTCGGCCAGAGTTGTCTCAACACTCCCCTTGCAACCCTTGCTTCGTGCCGGTCAAATGAACGCTTGTCACTTGCGCGTGCCCAATTTGAGTGCGTGCCCATTTGCCCGCACGCAGCCTGCACCATGATGTTTGCGTAGTGTTTTCGCAGGGCCGCTGCATGGAATTTAAAGGAGGCAAGCATAAGAAGTCAGTGTTGGTGGGAGCGACGTCCACTTCTGCGGCGAGATGAGGATAAGTCACATACTTGTGTTTGTTGTCTTGGTCCTTTTCAGTTGCCTTCGCGAGCAGTGCTGGACAAATCAACGGGCATTGGTGTTTGATATGATGTATCATGGATTGATATGGTGCAGGCGTGGGAAAGCAGCACTAGAGTGGAGCCTTTGTTTTTTGCATCCTGGCAGTTTGGTTAACCCACTGTTGCAGGGTGTCACGTGTCGCTCGTGGGGTGGCGCCCGCTTTATGGTGCTGCCGCTCGCGATTCCTCAAGCAGTGAAGAGCAAACCCCCACCAGAATGATTAGCTGGTTGCCAGTGCACAGTGTACATTTGCGCCAGGTCACGTTCGATTTCAGGGTTCTCGTTTTTCTCGTTTTTTCTTCTTGGGACAGCTGCATGTAGCCTTCTGATTTTTGTGCAGCTCAACTCCCTCAGGTTTGCTTGAGGACCTGCAGCACGGACGGCGGGAGTTTGACGATGGTCAGCCGTGGTATCCCACCTGGGCCGGCGACGTCGCCTCGGTGCTGCGCTTCTTGCTGCAGAGTCTCGTGGCGGGGGATTTGCGCGGAATTTACCATTGGCAGGGCCCAGATCGCTTGACCGAGTTCCAGATGGCCAAGCAGCTGGCCGAGGTCGCGAGCTTGAAGCTCCCGATCCTGCCGCGCCAGCCCAAATGCCTCCGTGACCGGAGCCTGGACTGCTCCAGGCTGGCGCGCTCCTTCACCATGTCCACCCCCTTCGCCGAGGGGGTGAAGAGCTTGAGGCTGACGCCGCCGACACCTCCAGGTTCCCTGCAGTGGGCCAGGTCTGAACAGCACGTGTGAGCGGCTCCGGAGAAATAGGTCAACTTTCGGGCTGGGCATGGAACCACGAGCAAGTGAGTGGCTTATTTCATAGCCATTGAGGGCTTCAGGGCTTAGGGATTGGGATGGGTGGCGTACTGGCAAAAGTAGCCTGAAACGGCATCGCGACAACTTGCTTCGCCTAGGTGCAGGAACCTGCCCAACAAAACTTGCAAGCCCAACAACGCAAGAGTAGCCCATGTCAGCTTCGTGGCTACAAGGAGCCATCGCTTTGCATGAGCCTTGTGAGCCATGTTGTCCCTTCCGGGCTTCAGCAGTACTTGCCCCAGCTCAGCTTTGCTCGTTGGCATTCCAAGCATGCGTTGCAGGCCGGCGCGAGAATGCCAGCCCAATGGCCTCCGGTGTCTCTGGCGGCTCTGCGTTGGTCTCCGGCACTGCCCAGACTCTGCTGCCACAGGCGCTTACTTGAGACGCTTGCGACACGCCATAGCCTCCAGCGCCTGAGCTCGCCTCAGCTTGAATTGCAGGGGGCCTCCATGCGCAGCGTGGGGCCAACTTCGGCCGCGTCAGGCAGGGCGTGGTTCACCTGACCAGCCTGACCAGTGGCAAAGGGAGGGCCTCGCAGGCTTTGGCGACGACAGCCCCGATGCCCTGGCACAGTGGCAGACAATGGCCAGAGCCCTATACACGCTAGACAGCTCAAAACGGCTCAAAACGGCAAATGTCCATGGCGAATCCTTCCGCAGAATTGATCGCCTGTCGCCTCCAGGTTGACAGCGGCTTCATCACTGAACATGTCCAGGTTGGGTATTGATAGCCGGCACTGAGCACATGATTTGTTTGAGGTCCGCATCCATAGATTGCTGGACCTGTCTCCTCGGCTTGCTTGGCATCCCGAATCGAATGTGGAATGCGGAATGCGTGATGCCTGATGCGCGTGTCTTCCGTGTCTGCCGTGCCTGCCGTGCCTGCCGTGCCTGCCGTGCCTGCCGTGCCTGCCGTGCCTGCCGTGTCTGCGTGAGTGCGTGTTTGCGTACGTGCGTGCGTGCGTGCGTGCGTGTGTGTGTGTGTGAACCGTCCTGGAGCACGGACGCAAAACTTTAAGCAGCAGGGGGACTGGAGCCGATTTGCCTATCCAGTCCAATGAAGCTACGGCATTTCGGTGGATACCGGATCTGATCAATCCGGCGTACCTGCCTATTTCATGACCCTCTTTCCTGATTCCTTTGCGGTTTCTGTTTGTCGCTGTTGCTTCCTGTTCGGTGTCGATGTTGTGACCTGTTGATTTGCATTTGCATTCAAGCATTTTTACCGACTGCGTTTTTCATCTCGGCTAGTGAAGCCTCTCGAGATAAGTGTGTTTACCCACGGCCTGTCCGACATGGCGCTGTGGGCTGGACTCGCCACATGCGGGAGCCCCCTGCGAGGGGAAGACCGTTCATTCGTTCAAATTCAAGCTGCAGTTCAGCGCGATTGACCATGATCAAGGCAGCGAATTTGCAGGTGAGGTACCATTCACATTCGCATTGCACTGCCTGCCTTTTGAACAAGGCAGCTCTCATGAGGTATCAGGCTCCGGCAGCTTCATGCGCGAGTGACAAGCCGGTCAGACACCGACTTTGCAGTTCACCGGTTTACGCTCTGCACTGACTCTGATCTGTTCAATTTACTTTCACGTTCAAGCGACACCTGCATTGACATGAGTTGGACCGACAAGGCAGCTTTTTTGAGGCACAGGTCATGTGTGAATCAGTTGCTAAATCGTGCCTGCCCATGCCGCAGTTGCCTTTTATTGTTTCCACCCCTCTCTTTCCAGCCCTCTCTCTCCCTTGCGAGATGGCTGGACACCAGCTCTATGACATGATGCATTCGCTCCTGCAAAGCATTGCGGCCGGCACCGTGTCCGGCTCACCAGGCAGCGGTGGACCGAACCTGCAGTTGTCACCCCAGATGACGCAGCCCATGAGCCTCGTACCTTCACCAGACCACGCCCTTTGCACCGTTTTCCATGCTGCCCTATGGTGGCCTTCCGAGCTTTGGCAACCCGATGTCCGTGATGCCCTACGGTGGCCTTCCTAACTTTGGCAACGCGACATCCGGCGCCCTGATGCCCTTCATGGCTCAGAGCAGCATGCCATCTTCATTGCCCGAGCCTCAGCCGGCACGCGCAGCCGATACAGCTGCTACGACTCCTGCCGCCGCTTCCTCGACCAACCCACATCCCACGGACAGTCATCCCCAGTCCCACTCCCGCAGATCCCGTTCCCGTCACAGACGACACCGCCACTCATACTCCCACACCAGTCATCACCGTGGACACGACAAGTCGCCACGGCGACGCAGCTCCAGCCCCTCACGGCCCCACCACCGCTCCAGGCGATCGCACCGCAACCCCATCTCCCTCCGCTCACGCTCCCCCCGGCGCAGGTCCCCCCAACGACACTCCCCCGCACCCAGGACCACGGCTCCACATCGAGCCCCGCAAGCCCACACCTCCCAAGGTTCCACTTCCCGGCGCACTTCCGGATGGGACACCGACAAGTCTCAAAGGTCCTCTCCACGCTGGTGGAACCAATCGTGGGGACACCCACCGCAGAGCCACAGTACAAGCCGCTGGGGCAAGCACCGCCGCAGCACCAGCAACACAGGCAACTGGAGCAGTCAGGACAAGCGACAGTCCTGGCCACAGCAGCAACCTGGGCAACAACCGCACCCCCCATCCCGTGCTGGCCGCAACAACGCCAGCATGCCCCCTACCCCTGCACCCGCGGCGGCTTTCCCAACCCCCCCTCCCCGCCCTGCTCCTTCCCAACCCTCCCCCCAACACCCCTTGGATGACATTGAAGACCTGGATTTTTTCTTCGTCGGAGGCAGAGCTCAACACAAACTCCGACAACCGGTGGCTTGATCTATGGCGAAGCGTCATGGACACAGCCAAGACCCCCGGATCGAATGCGCCGCATGTCCTATAAGAACATGATCCGGCCTGCTGCATGGAGGCCTGAGAACCATGACTACCCGAGCTTTGGATGCTATGCTCAGGCTACTCCCACAGCCTGCAATCCCGACACGTTAGGCCAGCTTTTGCAGAACTTCACCATCGGAAAGTCTCAGCTTGGGGCCATCGCTTTTGGGGAACTGCGCTCTGTCAATCAGCACAAGATCTTGGAGTCCGGGGGAAGCCTCGAGGACCAGCACAACGTGCGGCGCCACTTTGCATGCCGCAGAGGCAAGAAGTGGTGCCTTCACTCCAAGTATGCCACGCTGAGAGGTGTCGCGCTGCAGCGCCCGGCGTAGCGGGGCGCGAACCGTACCATATTCCATATGACCAGGAAAAGAACTGATGCACGGTTTGTTCGCTTTGTTGCCTTTTCTGTGACCGGTCTTTCGCCGTGCGACCCTTCCTTTTGGTTGCCGTTTGCCAGCCTTTGGTTCAAACTTGGTCCCTTTCCCTTGTGTTTTCTCATGGCTTTCCAACCCCCTCCAGGCTTGTTACCGATGCTCCAAAGGCAAAACTATCCACAGCAACCTTCACCCGCTGCATCCAACCACCATGGCAACATGTACGGCAACAACACGGCCGGAACCTCCTCTACGACCTGGACACCACCGACTGCACCTCCAACTCCCTGCCAACCCCACGGCCACCCCTTCCCACTTCCAGCCACCCCTCGGCCCCCGCCCCCCTTTCACCGGCTTTCTCCCCCCTCCTCCCGGCGGCGCCCATTTTCCCCCTCCTCCCCCGGCCCCTTCACCCGCGGCCCCCTTTTCTCCCCTCCCCCCACCGCCTCGAAGGCCACACCCCCTCCTGCTCTTCGCCCCCTCCACTCAGTCCCAACACCAGCAGAGTTCAACCCCGACGACGATCACTACGACACCACCCGCGTCGCAGGGTACGACCTGCTCAAGGTCATGACGCATACCGCGTTCACCCGGCAATTGGGCATTGAGGGACAGGACATCGCTCGCGTTCCCCTCCTCAACTTCCTGCACGAACAGTGGAACAGCTGGTGGTTGCGCCACCTCGCCCATGGAGGTGAGGTACGCATCGTTGTCGCAAAGTCGATGCCGGAGTCAGTCTTCGCCGCTGGGCTACTCAGCCAAATCCGACAACGACATCTTGACTTGGATGCCCTCGCTCTTCACGTCGCTACACAGGAGGGCACCTCGACCACCAAACTAGCAGCCATGAAGCTACTAACCAGCAAGATCTTCGACTTCCTCATCTCCCTACGACCCACCACTACGACTGACCCAGCTTCAGCTGCCACCATCCTCCAGCTCGAGCAACAGCTTGCCGTCGCACACAACCAACTCGCACAGCATGCCTCATCCCCTTCACCTCCCCCTACACCCACATCATCCGGCAAGCGCCCGGCTGAGCCCTCTCAGGCCTCCCTTCTGGACTTCGGCACGAAGCGGCCACGGTTGACCACGCCTGACACCCCACCACCTGACGTTTCCCTCTGCCCTCCCCCTCCCCGCTCGCACCACTGACGACTCCCCTTCTCCCCCGGCCCCCCCCACCCACGGCGGCACACCCCTCTCCGCCCACCTTGAAGGACCCCCTCCCCACGTTTGCCAATGGCTCACCAGCAACTTCCCACCCGACATATCCGACACCAAAGTCCAGCGATGGATCACTTCCCAGGAGATCAGCAAAGAAAGCAAGCAGACCCTTAAATGCTGGTCCAACGACTGCTCCAAATGGGACCACACTGGACTCCGACACCAGAGCCCAACTGGAACGAGCCGCGGCGTACCAGTGCGAACCCTATCCAAACTAGGGTCATCGGCCCTGGGCCGCATCCTGGCCGCTGCAAGCCACTTCTACCAGTGACTCTCAACAGCACACCGACAACGACGCACAGCCAAGCAACACAATTTTTGGCAACACCACTGCCGCCAATTTCTCGCTGTCCTCCGTTTCACTCTCCGGTTCTTCCCAACCGACGACGTCACCGCACGTCACTTTTGTTCCTGGCTACTCGCGCAGCTTCAGCTACTTGACGTCTGCCATCTCTCGTGTGGCTCTGGCCGACTGAAAGCCCTGCTTGCCCGACTCGACCTGGATTCCCCCGCTTCTGATTTCTCATCTCAGCTTGTCCCTTCCGCGGTTTATCTGAGATTCACCAGCCATCCCAAATGGCAAACCTTTTTCTATGTCGGTGCAACTCGCACCTCTCTCATGGCTCGGGATCACCGCCGATTCCGCAAGCTACTTCAGGTTCAACGACACCATTTGGTCAACGCCGAGCTGGCCGTTCGATGGTGGGCGCATTTCGATGTTTTCCACTTTTACGCTTCAGTGCCCATCCACATTGCCGTCCCAGCAACAGACCTCTTCGCGACTGAGCAGTTCTACATTCAGGAACTGCAACCGTCTCTCAATTTTGGCTTCATCGAGAGACATTTTCGGCCACGCACGGGCTTCATACGACAATTGGACTTTTCTCAATCCCGGCACATGGGCTTTGCCACCATTTGGCGCTCTGCAACAAGCTTTCCTGGCCAACCGCCTGGACTTGTGGCGACTTTTGGGCGATCTTGGCAGCAACACCCTACGACGATTTGATGCCATCCGTTACATACGGAGCAGAGACTTCCCACACGCTGCCCTGTACATCCTTCATCGCATTGCTACACACTTACCTGAACCACACCACCAGGCATGCATCTCTGCCATTCGATCTAGCCTGCGCTTCCGGGGCCTAATTCCACCCGGCCCCTCCAGCCCGATGCTCGCTCCCTTCTTCGCACATTCCTCCTTTCGGACGTTGCTTTTGACCCAGCTCCGCGGGTTTGTCAGATCCACACCCGCAGTGCTCTGCCGTTTCATGTGGCGCAACCACGCATCGTTTTCAAGGCGCA